ATTCTCATAACTAATTTACAAGGAAATGTATAGCAGCTAGAGGGGTGAATCATCAGATCTTGGGAGTGAAATGATTAAAGTCAATTCTCCATCACCTTCAAACTTGGAATTCATTTTGCGTTGTTCGTATAATTGTACCTTTGATGTTATTACCCTAAATAWWTTTGAAGTATCCGACTTTTCATCGGCTTACATTTTGCCAATAACAGTAAATGAATAGTTCCACCACAGACTCAAAGAAGCCTTACAGAAAAAATAGCGGACTGATGATTAAATATGGCGGACCAACTGAGCAGGACTTTTCTGAGGATGATAACTTAATTCTGTTTCTGATTTTTTAATCAGAGGATCATTGTCGGTTTAGTACAGTCACTTTACTTATTGTTCACAGTATCATATAGAGGATATTACATGGCCGCTTAGAGATACGAAATTTACTTCTCGTGTTGAAAAATATTTCCAATTTATCATTTGACCCGTCCAGCTCCTCTCGCGCACTCCCGTTTCCCGTCTAGCTCTCCCATTTTGTCAATAAGTACTTAATATATCCAAGCGACCATGTAAAATTCTACATACAAACACCAATGAAAAACCAAGCCGATTAACTTATGCTGCGAAAGGAGCGATTTATCATGTAACCATCATAACGGTGTTTTTTTTTTCGTGTGAAGGTATCACGTTTCCGCGCGAAAGCTCACCTGTTGTCATTGATGTTTATATAATAAATCATATTCTACGCAGTCTATTCACGAGTTCTCAATAGTGTCACCTTGATCAATTTGTGTTCTCTCTGTAACGACCTAGACAGTATAGTGCTATTACCTAAACTGATCTGTGGGCGATAACCGCATATAGACGTCTGTCTCGATTGTCAGTAAATAAGTGTTTTGAATATCATCGTTCCTTCCGATCGTTCGGTTCAGTTAGTTTCATAGAAATAATTTGGAGACATCAACAAAGCTGAAATGGTATTTTGGCCACCGTAACGATTACAAAAGCTGACGTTTCGAGCGTTAGCCCTTCGTCGGAGCAAACAGTTTCTTTCGAAACTATCAGTCTTTATTTACTAGTTTCATAGAACACTTCAATCTCGTCGGGTCGGAAATAATAACTTCCTGCCAGGAATGATTTGGCGAAGGAGCTGCTGTAACCATGCCGACTGGAAGGTGACTGGAAGGTGTATCCAAGGTTTGAGTTAGAATTTGAGCTGGATGAGGTGGGGTTGACAAGGTTAATATCGGCTCCTCCACCAAATCTGGGCCCATGGCTTGAACAACTGTATATGGAATATCGCTTAGAACTATACTTCCCTGTTTGAAGCAGTTTCCTTGGTCCCCAGCCTGCCTTGTTAAGCAATGAGAACAAAAAGGCACTTCAGCTGTAGTAGTATCCACAACTGGAGGAAGCTAAATAGCAGAAGAGTCAGAGAGAGTTATAAACTATCTCAATTAGCTGAGACCACAGGGGGCCCAGACAAGCGGCGAGTCTGGTTGTTTATTCGAAATATAAAGGAATGTATGGGAGAATATTGAAGACTGTTACTATACGTTATAAGAAGGAGACGCAAAACCCACCAAATCGCTCAAACTCGCTATTTAGAGCCACAGAAACGACAATACACAGCAAGTAAGGTGGGTTTACATTTATTTTGAGCTTTAACTCAGACATTTCATGATATAAGTTTACGATAAGAAGACTCTTCAACTTCTCCCATACCTTCCTTTATATTTCGAATAAACAACCAGACTCGTCGCTTGTCTGGGCCCCCTGTGATGAGACAAATGTAGATATTTCTACCACTTGATAGGAAGACTAATAAAATAACATAATGAAAGTGAGGTAAAAATTCGGCATTTCAAAATGCTGAGTTATCATATGGTTCATGTGTTTCATATAATACTGTAGTTCGTTCGCCAGAAATTGTAGCTTGATTATCCCCATTCTCTCACTACCAAATGTATAGGGAGGTAGTGTAATTTGTAAGGAACAGTGATGAAATAACTAGGATAACTAGGAACAAAGGAAAAAAAAATTTCAACCCGGTCAGCAACATAAAGTAACCTTTATAAAGAAGAGTAAGTCAAATTTT